CGCCATCTTTCGTGATGCTTTTGAAAGCTTTTTCTCGTCCCTGCTGTTCGAGTTCATGTGTTTTGAAGGAAGTGTGGCATTTGAAGCGCTCTGAAGGAAGTTATGCTTTCAAAGTTAGCTTGCTATTGTTAGACTCTATGAAAATTGCCCACCCTACCTTTAACTTTCATGCAACACTAAGAACATAATGTCTGTCTCTGCAGGTATGCCGGGCTCCAGGTACGTTGGTGTGGAGAGTTGGAGCAGTCAGCAGGTTGCTGGCTGGCTTAGAGAACAGGGGTTTCGTGAATATGTGGATCTCTTGTGCTCTAAGCACCGTTTGGATGGTGCCAGCCTGCTGTGTCTTACTGAGACTGACCTGCGGTCTCCTCCGCTGGAGCTTAAGGTGCTGGGTGATATCAAGAGATTGATGCTGGCTATGCGGAGGCTACAGAGACAACACACAGTCCTCGTGGATTCAGGGTCAGAGGTCAGTGCGTTGTCTCCCATACACACTGGCGGAACAGGCCGTGCCGTCTCTAATGGCTTCACAAAGCGAGAGTCAGGAGACCACCAACACTATAATGGGGCGGTCACTACAGTTGGTAGTGAACACACTTACTCAAACGGGAAGCGTAAGCAGCATTGTGGTCGGTTTGACCCGGAGTACTGGAAGACCACCCTCAGTGCTCTCTATGCCATGCTGGTGTGCGGAGTGACATCATTTGTCATGGTGCTAGTGCATGAAAGAGTTCCTGATATGAGGACGTACCCGCCACTTCCAGACATATTTCTAGACAGGTGAGTTATATATGGATGTATATGAGGTGGATGTATTTTTGGGATAAGTGTGTTATATTGCTCCATATATTTTAATTGCATTTATTTAAACCTCTTTTCCAAAATGTATTTCTATTAGGCAGTTCATGGCAGTGAATCAAACATTATTTAATCAAAATAAACATATAATGTTATTTAAAGATGTATGCAGTATATCTAATATAACTGTTACTATGCAATGATATAACTGTTCAGTACTTGGATAATGTACTGTATAAAATAATTGAGGAAAAACATTTTTAAATATTAATTTCTTAGGGATAGAATGGAAAACGATTCTGTATTTTATTTTACTGTTACGTCTTTTTATTTTGAATGTGCTTAGCAACAGTGGGCAAAATTAGGATTCCTCTGATCAAGACAAAAAAATCAGAATTTTCATTTTAATCTGTGTTTGATCAGTATCTTGTTTTTCAAATTTGAGTGTTAACATCAAGAATTATGACTCTGTGTGTCAGTGTTCCCAGAATTCCCTGGGCCTTCGCCATGGCTGAAGCATGTGCAGTGGTGCTGGGCTCCATATTAGTGCTGGTCTTGTTGATGCACAAACATAGGTAAACGCACAGAAAATACCAACCAGCACTTAGTTTACTGTGGTCTGACAACTGTTGCATATTGTGTAAATATAATCTTCTCAGAGACAACACTCTTCTTTTCAGAAATTAGCTGGTACTTATGAAAATACTTCATTACTATATGACAATCTCTTGTAAATGTTATTTTCATGTTTGATACTCATTAAACAGAGAGGCTTTTTGTAGATGTAAGTTGATGGGTCAAATCGATTCATATTTTTAAAAAATCTTTTTTTTTCTTCCCATTATAAATAATTTTGATGTTTAACAATCTTTGTTGCACACTGCACAGTGACTATTCGGTTAGAGAAAGGGTTTGCCTTTGCAATTTTGTTTATGTTGATGCACTTTAAAGCTGCAGTCCAAGATTTTTTGGGGTTAAAAATGATCCAAAATACATATTTGAGAAAATGCGTAACCAGCCAGTGTTAAACTATCCGCTTGCCTTAGCTCGATTCAAAGCGGTAAGCTTGTAATAATGTTTTTAATTCCAGTGGTACTGGTGGATTTCCGTGGGAGATTCAAGCATGTCTTTGCATCATTACGTCACATCTGTTCACATAAAGAAGAGTCTCGGCTAGTAGGCTGTATTGCGAGGGAGGATGTTGGAGGTGGAGATTTATAGCCTTTTCTCACAGCACTTGATATAATTAAACTTTGCAATTTGATGGCGGATCCAGAAAGGTTCAAACAACAATCATCAATAACAACTAGAGACTCACCCGCTGTAAAATGTAAATATACTTTGTTCGGATTTTGGAGTGGCAACAGAAAAAAAAGAGACTTCAACCGGACCCATGCGAAAACAAGGATACATAAAGGAAGGACATTACATGTAGTCAGGCAATGCTTGCTTACGTTGTTAACATTAACAATTTGAAAACAAAGTATAATTTGCATGGTTTTACGTGATAACTTATTAGCAATTGTTAGATTTAATCAGCGTGATTTACTGCAATGTCAGAACCAGAACAAAAGTGGATGTTTCGTACTACTTTTCATAGTTCCAAAAAGAATTATCTGTGATTCTGAATGCCAGTATCCACACCGACGTGATGATTGACAGCCTCACACTCTCCTCAAACACTTGAAGTACAACTCACGTAAAGTTGATAATTCCGCGAATGATTGCAATTGCAGATTTCGAACAGAGATGGCGACAAATAGGAAAAACGCTGGACTGCAAAATGCAAATATATATATTTACAGTTGGAATCGTAAATCGAGTTTTTTATTCAAATCTATGTAGACTATAGTGTTTGGTTGATGCGTTTACAGTTACATTGAAGAGTTTGTTTTGTTTTTTCATTGTTTGTAAAACAGTGAATTTTATATTATTGTTATTTTGCTTGTTTTGAACCCCTGATTTTTTTTAAATTCCCATCTAACTGTATCTTCTGTCATTGTGTGTTTGCGTGATAGGTCCATTCTGTTTCGCAGACTGTGTAATTTGATGGGCACTGTATTTTTGCTCCGCTGTGTCACCATGTTTGTTACTTCACTGTCTGTACCTGGTCATCACCTACAGTGTTCAGGCAAGGTGAGAAACATGCATGTATAGGATTTATTTTTGAAGGTGCATTTGGGATGGGCAATGACGTAAGACTTTTACTGTAGGTAGTCCCCGCAATATTTATTGGAAACATGACAAATGCCACACAATGTTAATCTTGTTTCTCTCAATGGACAGAATTAAAGTATGAAATATATCATATATGTAATATAATATGTAACATAATAAATGCACAAATTAAGGAGATTCATAGTCCGTCATTGTTGATACGCTGGAGTAGAATGGCGTCTACACGATTGTGGTGTTCTGTTCTTGGGTGTAATAACAAACACAGCAGTCATTTTGATGTTCCTAAATCTGAACCGCTGAAGACGCAGTGGCTGAGTTTTTTTGTTTTTGAAGGGAATATTCCCCACGATCAACATCAATGCTTTCAAGTTTGCGCGAATCATTTCTCACCAGACTGCTTTATAAACGAGGGTCATTATGAGCTGGGTTTGCTAAGAAGCTGCTCTTGAAAAAAGAATCAGTACCAACTATTAGTGTCCCTGCTGCACCTCCAGAAGTAGTGAGTGTAAAGTTGTATTAATCTTTATATTAATCTTTGCAAATCACGAAAAAAGTTGTTCATGACTATTAACTGTAACATCAATCCGTCAACGAACTAACCTATACATCAGTAAACGCATAGCGTTTGTATCTCACTTCTCTACCCTGCCAGTGCATACAAAAATAGATCAAAGTGGCATTACATTAACCAGAAACATCCTGTTCGAGCCTTAATTGTCGAACTTCTTTGGGGCTGTCATCTTGTTCCATGTCCAACTCATAGACTGTAAAAAAAACTCTGGTTCAAAACCGGTTGATACGGTCTCTGATACCTCAGAGACTCCCGCTGCCATTCCTTCTCCAAAATATACCCCCAATTGTTTTCAAGGCAACACTCCATGTGAGGGGTTAGATAAGCTCATTATCATTTAAAGCCATATGCACTGAAACGGCATGCTGAAAACAGAGTTGTTTTTGACCAGGTAAAATTAGTGTTTTCTAATAATACTAATGAGAATTTTTAATAAAAGTATATTACAAAGTTTTCATTTATACCCTAAAGATTCAAATTAACAAAATTGGCATTATATGACCCCTTTAAATATATATATATATATATATATATATATATATATATATAAACTAAAAACTAAAATTACTCTGTTACCTCTATCTTTTTATTTCACTATTTGTATCTCTCTTACACACTTCAGCTGACCATCATAATGTGTGTTTTGCAGGTGTACGGTGATACATGGACAAAAGTGCAGCGTGCACTGGACATCTGGAGTGGGCTTGGCATGTCTTTAACCGGGGTTCATACATGTGGCGATTACATGTTCAGCGGACACACTGTTGTTCTCACCATGCTCAACTTTTTTGTCACCGAATGTGAGTGTAAACAAACAGTGTAGAGAGTTTTACTTATTTTAAATAGATAGCACTTTTATCAGCTGTGATTCAGTGGTGTGGTCAACATATTTTTGTGAATTTGTTTTAGACACGCCACGTAACTGGAACTTCATCCACACCATGTCTTGGGTCCTAAACTTATTTGGAATCTTCTTCATCTTAGCGGCTCATGAACATTACTCTATCGACGTCTTCATCGCATTCTACATTACCACCAGACTGTTCCTGTACTACCACACGCTAGCAAACACGCAGGCCTACCAGCACAGCCGTCGAGCACGGATCTGGTTCCCTCTCTTCTCTTTCTTTGAGTGCAACGTGACCGGACCGGTTCCAAATGAGTATAGCTGGCCTTTCTCCAAACCCTCCTTCATGAGGATACTTCTAGGGTAGGCCATCTGTGTTTGTCTTGCTCTGACTTTGGCTTCACAGTCTTCAAATTTGGATTTTTGGGGGAATTATTTATTATTGTATTTGTTTTGTTTTGTTTAATATCTTGAAACTGCTATTTGTAATGCTTTATTCTCTCTAAATCAGAATGTCGTTTTGAATTTTAACTTTATCTTCTTATAATTTCTGCCTGTATACAAACTAAAAAGCACATCTCAAAATGCTTTTTTTAATACCTCATTATGCAGAATCATATTTTCCATTATCTGGTGAAGCAGGTTTGAGTTCTTACAATTGCAGATTTATCTTTCTCTAACCATTGGACACATAGTATTTCAGCTCCTGAACACTAACAGTATGTTTAACTGAGGAAAAGTGCTAATATACATTCAGTCTTTATTAAATAATGATGCCTCGTGCTGCCTATGCTACGTCCTTATTGGGCAAATTGAAGTCTTACAGCCACAGAGATATAATTCTTATATTTTTTGACACTGTTATTAATATGTGACCATTGTATATAGATAGTTTACAATTTTTATGTGATTCTGGGAATAGATTGCTAGTATGAAATGTTTTGCCAATATCTGCATCAAAGACACATTCAGCACTTTTATATGGACTTGAAGTACATTGTAAAAAAAAAAAAAAAAGGGGGAGAGCATTTTGTATTTGTATGTTTGTGTATTTTTGAATGTAACAAAAAATTCTTGTACTGTTTTCGTATTTGTTTTATTTAAATGTAACTTGAATTCTGTCTTATCAGTTGGGGTACCAGGTAGAGGATACTTACTGGAATAATAAAAGTTTACAGATTCACTAAACACTCATATATATGCGTTTTTAATACACCAAATTAGCAGCATGACAAATGTCCAGTGTGTTGTATATTAGCTTATTATGACTGTTACTATTTATACAGTTAGGTGTGATATATAAAGTAGCTTAGGATATACAGCACTGTTTGACGAGAGATTAAAGGATTTAACTGTCCAATCCAACGTGTGATCTAGATTACATTTTTTTTTCTCAATCAGACAGACTAGTATACTACTGTACATATTAAAGTGAACTAAAAGAGAAAGCAATTTCAACATTTTTCATTTTAGTGCCAGGAATCATGCATTAAATATTCCATTTTGTTTAACAAGTAGTGTCACTATCAAGATTTCGATCACAAGGACTGTTAGAAACTTTTAAAAAAAAAAACAATAAACATGTGATCAACCAGACAACATTTGAATCATTGTTGATGATGGTAAATAAACCAAGAAAAATCACATGAATCACATATTATATCACTAACCCTTACATATTAATGAATAGGAATGATATGATATTACAAATGTGAACTTATAGTTATTCATATACATTTTAAAGGGATACTCCACTTTTTTTGGAAATAGTCTCATTCCAAAAAAAGTGGAGTATCCCTTTAAGTAGGATTTATGTGAAACAAATGTTATATATTTGCTTTAATTTTAACACTTAATATGTAAATTACTTAAAGATAATAACACTGTTGCCTTGTTTAACTCAGTTCAGTCTGATCTGAAATGTGTGCAATCAAAATGTAACTTGTTTTTAAAAAGAACTAAATATTTTTAAGTGTATATTTACTAATAAAATTATTTTTGTGGTGAAGTAAATACTACAGAAAAAAAGTAATTTACATGAAAAGGTTAGTTCAAAAAACCAAGTATATTCTAGTACTCAATTCAAGCGTGTAGAAATGAAAGCGTAAATATTAACATTATATTACTCAACTTTTCTGAAACTGGTGTTCCCATTATGCACTGGGCCTTGAGTAATTAAGGAGGTTGATTTTTTTGTTCACTGTTTTCCTACTGTATTTACACTGTTTTATCGTGAGTATTTTGTTGTTATGATTAGTAAATTCCCATTTTGTGACATTTGGAGTTTATTTTGTACTCAAAATGACACATTCAAACACAAAAACGATTCATCAAATGTTACCATCATTGTATTTTGTCTACCAAGATTTGAGGTCTCTGGTCTCTGCGTTCACACATTATTTACAAGATGAGTATTCTATTTATTACTAATTTATAAGATTATTCTTTAAGGGGTCAATGTTAAATTGTTTGAGCAAAGTGTTTTGCAAAGGAAACTTCAGTTAAACATGTTTTGCTCTATCTTTTACTACTAAGTTCATTTATGTATTTTTTTGTTACTTTCACTTAATTAAGGTAAGTAGACTTTACTTCATTCCATATGTGAAATTTACTTTAAAAATATGCGTGTGAAATTTACTTTAAAAATATTTGTGCAAAAACTTACTAAAGAAAAATGAATTAACTTGTTTAATTGTTTTTCAGTGTTGGCTGAACACTGTTGATTCAGTATATAGAGGGATCAAGAGGCTCTTTATTATTTATGTTTTATGCAGTTGTGATTAATGCTAACACATAAAAAATGAAGTGACATGATCAAACAGTATTAATTAATTCCTCTAGAGAAATTACCTTACCTTCCCATCATCTGGGAAAACCAGTTCCTATTTATTAATGTGACAAACTTGTCAGTTTTGATTTATCACAGAAATGGTAGGCTACGATATAAAAAGGTGTGAGGTTTTCTAATCAGCCACTAACTGCCCTCATCAGCACCTGCTTTGGCTGGATATTGCAAACATTCACAACATGGTACAGTATGATTCAGCCTTTTAAAAGTCTTTACAACAACCAAATACAACTTTTAGAATCTCTGTCTTATTTTACAATCGGGCAGTGTCTGTAATTAATAATTAGCCTTCTCAAAAATTAACATTGGTATTTCATTGGTGGAACATTAAATTTAATATTCTCTTTTTTTATTAGCATCATGTCTTGACATGTTTAACTGCCCAGTACTTCTCATCTTCTCAGGTGTGTTTGTTGAGAGTGTACGTTCTCCTCTTCGTGGTGGTCTGCTGTAGTGCCGAGTGCTACATTCAGAAACCTAAAGTGGATTTGTTATCCCCCGAAGACATAAACCATCTACAAGGTGACTAGGCTACATGTGTTCAAATACATACATACATATATAAATACAAATAAGTACATGTGGCGGGTGGTCACCACTTTTGAATAGGAAACAATATAGCCTAAGATATAGCCTAAAGTCTAAACTCGTCAAAACTCGGCGAATCTCAACAAGCGCATCGGTGAGAGAACACTCACTGCACATCGCATTTTTGACATTATTTAGGCCTACTGCTTTCAATCGTAATGCAACGGATAAATCAAGCCTTTAAATAACAGAGTTATTGGGCTGTTTGTTGCCACATATAGCTACAATAAAAGATCCTGCACAACGACAGGAAATTATTTATTTTTTCGGCTGAGGACGAATTATAGCTACGCACACACACGCCTATGACATCACACTCTGCGCATTAGTGTTTAAAAATATAATTTAACATATAAATAGTCCTATTACTTTTTAAATAGCCCACTTAAAGTGTTTATTACAAATACATTACTAAATGCCTAAAATGAATAGCTAAAAAAAAATAATAAATAAATGATATATAAATGAAATAATAAATGAGTTACATTTACATCAAAGCACTTCCCGTGCCCTTGGTTTAAAGAATTTTTTTCTATGTTTCTGCTATAAGTTATATTAAATATATATTTACTTTGAATGTTTAACATTAAACAGTATTTTATTACTATTTTATTGAATAAATGTAGGCCTATTTAGCTATCAATTTATAGCCTAAAAGGCCATTAGCCTGTTATAGAGATGTTTGGGTTGTAATCTCACCATCTAAGTGTCCTGTTTTAAATTATGGTTATCAATTATTATTTGCATACAGCTTTTCTATGGTACTGTGCATGATTGTTTATTTAGGTTGTGTCGACTCAGAGGGAGTAGCTCATGACTTCAACTCTGAGTGGCAGAATGAGTGTTACAACTGTCTCTGTACACAGTTTGGCATTCAATGCTGTAACAAGTAAGTTTTGCAGTAGTTGGCCATTATTTAGTCCTTTCATAAACCTTCTGTTTTCAGTAATAATACAAAGCTTATACATGGCATTGTGTGTACGTGTGTAGGATCCCAACAGCAATAGAACTCCCTGATGAATGCATGATGGTTGTTGATAAAACAACCTGCTCTTTCACCCTCGTACTTGTTTCAGACCACAGCAAACCATGCGAACTTGCCTAACACAACTGGAAGCAAACGCACATCTATGGAATAAGTCTTGTATTGGGTGAAAAGCCTTACAAATGATAAAAAAGGCTTAACTGTATAATCTGATATACAATAAAAATGATTTATCTGGCTTTCTCTGGATTTGAATCCATTGTAAATGTGCAGTAGGCTATTGTTCACAAATAATCTTTTGATGCAAATTTGCAAATATTATCTGCTGGTTGGAATGAATGTTACACATTACTGCATTTTTTTCTGATTCTCTGTTAATTTAAAAGTCAATGCGACATTTTTTTGTTTTCATGTTTTGTAACAGCAAGGAGTATGCATATGAATTATTATTGTATGGCTAAATAACTAAATAACCATAATTGGTTACACTTTATTTGAAGGTGTTTTGACTTAGTTAATGTAAAACATCAAGTTCCAGGAAATTTCTTTTTAAGTCTTTAATACACAACTAAACAAGGAATGGGAATTTTATCGCCATGAAATTAGTTTGGGTATAATTTTGTCATAACGGCATGCTGGAGTAGGATTTTCAATTTGAAGAACAATTTACACACATGTTGATGTTTAAACTCGTCCAACTACTACCACTAAAAACTATTACTCAATAAAATACAATGTACAACATGTAACAGATTAAAAAAAAAGATCATTTGCATCATTGATATTATTATATTTTTTTGTAAATATTTAAAACATTTATAATATTTTATGTTTTAATTGTTATTTTAGTTTAAGTTTAAGTATGTTGTGTTTTGTCATTTAAATTATTATTATTATGATTATTTTGTCTTATTTTTAAAATATATCTGCTGTATGGTTTTTATTATGTTTGGTAACATTATTTTTGGTCTCCTTTAAACATTATGTTGACTAGGAACATTGCACCTACGTCAACAAACTCTCATTAGAGTTTTAGTAGGGTATTTGTAAAGTGCTTACCTGTTGTCTTGTTAAAACTGAATGAAATGATTATACAATCAAATTATGTATTTTGATTTAAGTTTGTTCGTCTCATATTTATGTGTAAAAAATACACAATGCTTTGCATGAACAAATCATGATTCATCAGTACCGTTCATACAAAAATATATATATGTGTGTGTGTGTGTGTGTGTGTGTGTGTGTGTGTGTGTGTGTGTGTGTGTGTTTAAATTCACAAATAAAATGAAAAGGCAACCATATGCAAAAATCATGTTATCTTGCCTTATAAATGTGATATAAAATTGTATTCATAGATTTGATTAATATATATCATTTATATAAAAGTTGTTATTCTTTCTTCAGCATTTTAATGGTTTTAATTACCATGTGACTGAAACGTAGATTTGTTATGTTACATTCTCAAAATCCCTTATCTGATTAAAGAGAACCACAAATAAATTCTTCTAGTTTATTTGAAGATACATATCAGTTATAAAAAATAAATTCTTCTGCAAACAAGTAACACATGACTAGACAAACACACCCACACCAGCATTGATGCAAAAAAATAAAATAAAAATAAATCATTGGATGTCAATAGACCTTTGGTGGGAGGAGGGGAGATTCATTTTTTTCCCCATTTTAAGTGATTGGATGTTTATTTAAAGCCATTAAAGAGAGTTTATTGTTTATAAATTATTAATGATCATTGAACATTTTGATTGGTCTTCTTACTCATCATGGTATAGTTTGTTTATTGCAAAGCGACAAAGCCAGCTTAGGACAGCACATGTCTTCGCCACCTTCAGCCGTCCGTGTGAGCTACACTATCTGGCAACATATCCTTTTTCCTTGCAAAACTTCTGACTAAAAGAGCAGCGAGCGTCTTTCTCAAGATGCCTCACACTTCCTGCGGCTTGTGCAGAGCCCCGCTCAGTGACGGAGACCACCATGTGATCTGCCTGGGCCAGGAACACGCAGCTTTCGCCCTCCCGTCAGGGGGTTGTGAGCTTTGAGACGCAGTTCCGATGCGGACTCCTGCGGGCTCGGCTCGAAGTGTTCAACCCTCAAGCTGTCACTCAGCCCTTTGCAGGACCGCGCAAAAGAAAATTCGTTCTCAAAGGCCACCGAAGCCTGTGGCCACCACGACTCCCTCCCTCGAGCCTCGCTATCACCTTCTCCGCCTCCCCTCAAAGACGCACAGTTGCCACTCTGCGGTCGTTTCTGATGACGAGGCTTAGAGGCTTGGGACTGCTGTTCCATCCTGGCATCGGGCAGCGAGGAGTGGTCGGTTTTTTCATCACTCCAACTCCACCTCGATCCAGGAATCTGGCCGGACTCGTGCTGGTGTGGACGCTGAGCTGATGCGCCTGCTGTCTCAGGCCGTTGACCGACTCGAGCTCGAGTGGTCACCCCTGAATGAGCCCACACCGAACAGACTCAAAAGCTGCTTTCTTCAGAGTCACCACCATCACGCGCCTGCAGCCAGGGCCGCCCCGTTTCAGCGCAGTGAGTGCACCTTTGCCCACCCTCCGTGAGATGGCACTCAAAGTCAGCCCTTGTCATCCGCGCATACGCCGCCGCAAGACAGACTTTTCCTGCCTCGATGCTCGAATTCCTCTACAGGCTGCTCACGTGACCAGCCGCCTGCACAAGCCATCACTCAGCGTCCAACAAAGCCTAACCAGCCTATGCAGCGATGTCAGGGTGGCCGCCTTAGGTCGCGCTCAGACAGCCGTCGCAGACCGCCGCCCCCCAGAGGGCCTCGGCAAAAGATTGCACTGAAGCTCGAGCACGCAAAATCCTCCTAGCGGCAGTAGAAAAACGGAAAAGGCGGTCGAGTCCCACTGCGGCCAGACCGCCGTCAAAGCTCATTTCCTTTTCAGTCCCCTTCACACAGGCTACTGCAGTGTTTAATTTAGCAGCCAATGAGCCGGTAAGACAACCCTTTTGTATCGGTAACCTAACGTAACCTCAGTTCTCTCTAGAGGAGGGAACGCGTATTGCGTAACCTGTCGTGCTCGCGCCACGAGTGACTTACGGTTCAGTCGATGAAAACCAGAGAAACAGCCTCTGAGCCCTGCTTATATACGCTAAGCCGCACCCATACTGGCGGGCTATGATGCTGTGAAGGCGCGAGCGCCCTTCATTGGACGTGAAGGCTCAGAGGTAGGCTGCTGCAGTTCCCACAGTTTCTAACTAACTAAGTTGGCTAAATTAGTTGGCTTTACTAACTAACGTTAGTTCAGTAGAATTAAATGTCCCTATTCCTTTAGATCCGTGGGACTCGCGTGTGATATCTGTCTCTTAGGCCCCGTCCACACTACTTTGTTTTCGTTTAAAAACGGAGACTACGTTTTTTTCTACTTTTGCTATGTTTACACCTCCCATCCAGACTAAAAAGGAAAAAAACGAAGACCTAAAAGGGAGAAGTTTAGAAACGCTCCAGCTCTGTTTTGCGGTTTGAATCTCCGGAGGGCATTTTAGTGAAGATGGAACAAAACGACGGACTTTAGAAACGATGACGCAGAGGCTGACGCTCGGCTCTATGATTGGGTGTCATCAGTCATGACGTATCCTTTCCTTATTCGTTAACCGCGCATGCCCAGTGTTGGTGAATGGTCACGTGATCCGCGTTTTCAGTCGTTTTAATGTGGATGGAGATCAATTCTAATACGCCGATAAAACGCTGGTGTGGACGGAGATCGTTTTCGTTTTAATTCTCTGTTTTTTAACGAAAACGCAGTAGTGTGGACGGGGCCAGCTTCATACCACTGTAATGTTAAAAACATGAATGTTTGCACTCATCCATAAACATTATTAGATCCATCAGCTTGACAGCAAAGTCCCATCATTCAGCAAAAAAGTAACCCGGTAAGTAACCCGGTTGCCTTAATTTTGAGTTCAGTGACAGTGAAATTATAATTTTTTTTTTTGTTAATACAATGGAGATTAGGTTAATCAACCGAATCTACAATTATTATGTTATCTGAACCAAAAGAATTATCAAATTTGATTTGACGAAAGAAAAATAGTGTGATAACAAATCATGAAAATATTTTGACAGTGTAGGACTAGTTACAATTATTTTTCTTATAATTGAGGGAAGTTTCGTGCTGTGGATATTTTAGGTTTTTATCATATGGAATATGTCATAAGTCATATGTTTGTATAACCACCAAAAATTAACATTTTATGTAATTTGCATTCAACAAGTTCTTAGAAATATTTATCCAAGATAAATGTGTTTAATATCTACACTGACTCCACCAATGCAAATTATTTGGTTTTGGATAAGTGCTGTTTTCCAACAATTGCAGATGCAAAGTAAGTAGACCAATGGAAGCAGAAAATGGGGGTGGGGTTTATCCATTCATCAGCATACAGCTGCTGTTCACTGGTTGGAGGAAAAGATTATAGGTCATGAATATCAATTTAGAGTAAGTATTTATTGTAGCATTTCAAGAGTTCCTAAAGTGCATTTTGGTGTTTGATTGACCAGTCTTCTCGAATTTCTCATCACATCTCGCCATAACATGGTACTGTACAATTTTTATCCTAAACAGCACGTTTGTGGGGTCTCTTTAACAATTTGCTGTTTTTTATGGTCTTTTTTTTTAATATGATGCCATGTGATTTTCATGGGGGAAACAGTATCTCACGCATGAGTCTTATGTGCTGTATGTTGTAGATTATAGAGTATATTGGTCATTTGTCTCCAGTTACGCATTTGTTATTTGAAATGCAAACTATGTATTTTTTGATTGCCTTTGTTATATTTGATTTTGTATATAATTTGCATCATATATTTACTTCAAATGTGATGTCAAATAAGTCCATATTAATCTCTTATTTGTCCTCTCTTTCAGTTTAGCGTGCTTGTGTTGCTTACAGCAGTGGTCTGCTGCAATGCCTGCCATGTAGAATATAACCCTCCAGATACCACTAACAGCCCAGGTGATGTTACTACCTTGTCTATTGGGAAAAATGTAACTAAGCTCACATTTTTGCAAACCGTTAAATATATGGTTGCAGGTCCAAACTCTACAATTGACTAATTGAGATTCATTTATCGATCGATTGATTGATTGATTCAGAAATTGTCAGCACGTCCTATTAAAGCCATTGACATGACGCTGTGGTAGGAGGGCTTAAATGCACATTGAGTTCAGAGACCCATCAATGCCTATTCCAGTGGTATGAAGATTTGTGTGCCTTTTTATCCCTTTATCACATTCACTAATGATTAAAAAACGTGTTTTGGCCCGTATAAATGAATTTTTCTCATGAGATCAAGTTAAAAAATATTTCTGTGTTTGTGTGTATTTATGATCCTGGATAACCAAGTAATAATAATTGAGGTACATTTCTATTATTGATTCAGGTTGTACTGACTCTGAAGGAAATCTCCATGAATTTTACTCTGAGTGGAGCAACGAACATGACACATGTGTCTGTGTGGATTTTGGAATCATCTGTTGTGGACGGTAGAGTTGTACTGTATATTTGCACACATCCATTTTCCTGTTCTATTTTTGTTTATTACAAATTGTGACAGTTGTAGAAATTTTGCTGTGACGCATGACTGTGTCATTCAATTATCTTTTTCTTATTTGTTTTTTTCTGTTTTCATAAAATGGCTTTGCACGAAAGGCACTATATTAAATTATTATTATTTAAATATAACATCACTTTCACATTTATAGAGAAAATCTATTTCCAATTTTCTTACAGAAATCATGAAATTTGTTTAATTTGGTAATATGATCAAAATTATCACACTGTATAATTCTTTTTTCTATCTACTTTTTTGTGCTAATGACTGGACAGATTTGATCATCACTTCCAAACTGAAACCACCTCTGAAATTTTTTATGATAACTTTGGAGCATTCACTGACAACGACATCGGAGGGAATGAAGAACCATCCCAAGGATCAGGGTGTGTGGGTTGAAGGAGAGACTGGGTCAAAAGGCTCAAATTCAAACATTTACTAAACTCAAACTGATACAGTCAGGCAAACAGGCAGAGGATACACACACTTTACATAAACGAGAACAGCCTAGGAGTGAGGGAGAACACAGGGTTTAAATACAAAGAGCACAGATAGGGGAAACAAGGCACAGCTGGGGCAAATAAACTAAACACAGGTAAATGAACTAAACAGTAGGAGGAGTGGGAAAATGGGAACAGGACTGAACTAAATACACAAAGAAAGGGGGAAACACAGGACACACATATAATGACAACAACTCTCTTGCAAAATCAAATCCGGGCAGTATAGTCTTATTATGCCATTTTGAAAAACAATGAAATGTATGTATCTGTGTATTGCATGTGCCGTTTTCAAGAAGCATTAATGCTTTGTGCAGTGGTTTGAGAAATGACATTATGCCAAACACATACTGTATGTAGATGACTGTGTGTATGTGTGTGTTTCAACAGTGATGAGGAGTAAGCTCCCAATCAGACGGATTCCTCAGACTCACCTGAAGTCATTGGTGATGACTTTAATGAGTCAGCTGAGAACAGCGAATAATCCATCCTGAGCAGCAAAAATACTCAAATGTTGTTGTTGTTTTTTTACATTTACATTAAATACAAAGCATTAACCTGTTGAATAAGCTGATATAAATAAGGCTTAATAAAATATACATACCCCAGCATACATTTGTTGTTGTTTGAGCATTTATGAAAACATTACCAAAACAGTAAAGCAGTATACTTCAAAGACACAGAAGTAGTGGCCTAATGAGCAAAGGTCGCAGGTTTGATTCTCATTCCCCCCAGTGTTCGATTGTAGGACTGAAAAAAATAACAAGAACTACGACTTTATTCAGCATTGTTTTGTCCTCCGGTTCTGTTGTCAAGTCACGTTCAGTTACGCTGATGACGTAAGTCTCTGCTGACGTGTTATCTTATCCGAGCTTCGTTTACAGTCTGAGGGAGTAAACTGTAGCGCTGTAAACAAAACAATCTTCGCAAACATGTCTAAGGATTTCGACACAGAGGAAGACTTGCATTTTTTTACCCAGCCATATTTATTTGAACCTGAATACACAGACACACGTCAGCAGCGTCTTACGCTATCAGTTTCACCGCGGACTCGTGAGCGCGGATTAACAACGGAACCGGAAGACAATACAATGCTGAATAAAGTCTTAGTTTTTTTTATTTTTGGACCAAAATGTATTTTCGATGCTTCAAAAAATTAATTAACTAATCCACTGGTGTCACTTGGACTACTTTGGTGATGTCTTTATTACCTTTCTGGACAAGGACAGTATACCGTACATACATTTTCAATGGAGGGACAGAAAACTCTCGGACTAAATCTAAAATATCTTAAACTGTTCCGAAGATGAATGGTCTTCAGATGAAGGTCTTACAGGCTTGGAACGGCATGAGGGTGAGTCATTAATGACATCATTTTCATTTTTGAACTAACCCTTTAAAGTTTACTTTAAAAAAAAACAACTAAATTTTACTTACCCCCATGTCATCCAAGATGACTATGTCTTTCTTTCTTCAGTCAAAAAGAAGGTTTTTGATGAAAACATTCCAGGATTTTTCTCCATATAATGCACTTTAACCAAACGGTTCAAGATCCAAAACGACCTTGACTCTCCTGTTCGAACTCGTTCATCAAAATGAATGAATCTTTTCCCGAGTCAATTCATTCATTTCGTTCGTTGAATGAACCAAATGACACGAAAAAAGATTTGTTCATTTTTATAAACGAGTTCAAACAGGAGAGTCACGAACGCGCACTTCCTCAAAAACACATGAGCAGAGTCTGCAAAGCGTCATGAGAATCTGCGTTAAATGTCTCAAAGCACAAAACATTACAATAATAATGTTACATGTTTCAAATGACTGCTGCGGATTAATTTCAGCATTGATAGTGTTGCCATTGAAACATAAATCCGAGTCTAAGGACATGGTTCTGAAACGGGGTGATGAAGAGAGTTTCAACCAGTATAACCAAAAGTGTTTCTGAACAACATAGCCTTCCCTACCTTTAAATGTACCGTGGGCCAATAAGCATGCATTTGTGTGTGCTAGTGTATTTTTGAGGAAAATAGGGCCCTGAATGTGTTTTATTGTCTGTGTGCAATGGAACCTGATGCAGTACATGGTTCATGTCACACGTGGGCAGTAAACACAGTGCAATCGCATGAGGTTATGCTTACAGTATGAAGCCCAGCAGAATAGTTACTACAGAGACGGCACATGCAAGGATGTGGGCTCAGAAGAAGCCCAGAGAGAGAGAGAGAGAGAGATGAATGTTGAGGTAGAACACCTGGAGTTGACTGAATCAGAGTGTTTATTCCCCTGACTGCCTGACAGCAATCTGCTGTAGAAGACAGGTGAGTGCAGAAAATGCATGTTTCTACACTACATAGCTATTAGTAATAATAAATGATCATATGAATACAATAATTCATACGTGTAATTGTTTGTTTTATCTCCTTGTTTCAAAGATGAGAGAACGGACTGAATTTATGAATGTTCTTATTCTGTAGAGCATCTTCATGTGTTTTAAGTTCGATTGTCTGTGAATAGTGGACATGATCAATTTAAGCCTCTGTGGATGCTTTTGTCTCTTTAAGTTGGAAAATTGTGTTCTATATTGTATTTTATATCTGATCAGTTTCACTTCCATATTGGAGACATTGTAATTGCAGCCCACATTAGCCATACATGCACATGCAAACATAGTTGTTCGCAATAGGTTGTGAAAAGATTGAAGTAACCCACAGTCATCTATTGGACATGTTGACATAGACTGCAGCTCTTTTGTGTTGCCATGAAGTGAGGACACATAGGCAATTTTCTCCCTTGCACACATAAATGCACACACACCTCCTCAGATCAGTATGTTTGTGCAGACGGGCAGTATGGCGACAGAATTTAGTGATTTTTTGGATCACATTTGAGTCAGGCTGAAAAGCTATCCCTCAGGGTTAATTTTTTTTCTTTTTACCTTTATATAGATGTTCTGTTTCTGATAAGTCACTTCACACAAATGGGATGTGTGACCACAATGTTATGTGTTATGTGTGAGAGGATTTTCTGTCGAAAATTTGCAATAGCCCTTGACCAAAAGGAGTTCAGAAGTCAGCACAACAGCATCTGTGATTTTTTTTTTTTTTTTTTTTTGAAAAGGAAAATTATGTACTAACTATTTAGATAAATAACTAAAAGTTTAAACCAGATTTTAATATCATCTATAATACAGCTCAGGTTTTGTAATATTGTCAGTATATGAGTGCAGATTTGAATATTTTACAGTTTGGTCAGTGTGACATGTAAAACTGCCAAAGGGAAAATCCACACCTGTAGGATAAGAATAGATAGATGATGTGAGATTGGGATGATTATGAAAGGGAGAGAAAAGAATGAAACTGATAGAGAGAAAATGCTGGAAGATAATGTGATCTCCTCACCCTCCGAGTCCTATCACAGGTGAATAATAACATTTGATGATATAAAAGAAAAATATATCAGCTGTAAGTCAGGGTAGCGATCACTCTTCCTCCTTTTCTCTCTTCATCACACGAAACACATTTGCAGTTATTATAGGCAGTTTTATTTACTTTAATTCAACTTTTTTTTAACACACATTAAAATGACCTGAAAACTGTTTTAGGGCTTTGTAGTTTAAAACTTTATAATTATTTCAAACTTTATAAAAATCCATTGTTGAATCCATTGATTGATAATCTAACCAAAGACTGAAATATTCACTCAAAAATCAAAGCACTTCAATGTTTACTGCGTGAAATGACTATCAACCAAGGTAAACACTGCATAATATTTTTTTTATTTTTTTTTAATTAATAAAACACTATTATAATATTTTTAGAGCATTATTTCCTATCTGTAATTGAACCAAATTATGCTAAAAGTGTGAAAAATATTATTTGTTTGTTTGGAAACACCCACACATTTGACCACAACAAACTGATTTTCATCTCATCTTGGCTCTGTGTTTGCCAAGTTGCAGATATGTTTGACGATGAGAGAATTCTAATATTATAATATAATTAAATGAGGCACAATTACAACAGGAAGTCCAAAATTATCTCATTATGTCTATCCTCTGATTGAGAGAACGAGATAGAGAGAGACCAACAAAGAGAGATAAAGACAAATACAGCCAAGCATGAAAATGTAATTTGTTGCGCAAATAAAGGATGGTTATGCTCAGTGTTTCATAGTCAAAAGCTAAGCATGCCTCTGCCTTAGACTAACCTATTCCGAGTTCAACTGGCATATATGAGCAAAGCTGATGGCTCTTTCACATGATTTACAACAGGGCAAAACAATCAGTCCCACCACATAATAATATTTTACGCAAACTGTAAAGATCAACTGCTTTCAGTTACGCACCCATATGGAACACTAAAGAAGAATGCTAATCCTTCTCTTTTCAGTACAATGAATAATGACTTCGATTTCATTCTTTAGTTTTATTTAAATTATATACATACACTGTAAAAAATATTTTCAAGATTTGTTATCACAACATATTTTCTTTTGTCAAATCAACTTTATAATAATTTATTTAGTTGAGATAACTTATTATTTTGAGTTTCTGATGATTAAATTAATCTCCTTCATTGTATTAACTCACTTTTTCCAGTTCAATCAACCTAAAACTTTAAGGCAACCCAGGTTACTTACTTTTTTAAGTTAAACCAACAAAAAAAATGTTTACAGTGTAGTAATCACAACATTTTTTCTTTTGTCAAATCAACTTAAATAATTTATTTAGTTCAGATAACATATAATTTTGAGTTTCTGATGATTAAATCATTCTCCTTCATTGTATTAACTCACTTTTTCCAGTTCAATAAACTTAAATTTTTAAGGCAACCAGGTTACTTACTTTTTAAAGTTAAACCATCAATATTTTTTTACAGTGTGTGTATATATATATATATATATATGTGGTGGGTTTTTTTCCCGATTTGGAGCTTGACAACATATGGTTATCATTCCTTTTTATTGTATGGAAAAGAGCAGTGTAAACATCCTGCCTAATGCTGCCTCAACATGCTACTGAAATTACCGTAATTATGAATTATCATAAAAAATATCACTTTGATAGATGAGTTTCCAAGCTGGGACTGGCTGTTACTTTACCATTGCTGCAGTAATCGATATGTTTTAATATGTTTTTCCCACAACAAGCCAGCAGCAATATCAACCTGTAGCCCAAGACTGGTTGCCCACCACTGAAGCTAAGCAGGGTTGAGCCTGGTCAGTACCTGGATGGGAGACCTCCTGGTAAAAAGTTACTGCTGGAAGAGGTGTTAATGAGGCCAGTAGGGGGTGCTCCCCCTCACGTCTGTGTGTGTGTGTGTGTGTGTGTCCTAACACCCCAGTATAGTGATGGGGACACTATACTGTCAAAAAGCACCGTCTTTTCCGATGAGACATTAAACCAAGTTTCTGACTCTCTGTGGTCATTAAAAAAAACAGGATTTGCTTTGAAAAAAAAAATAGGGATTTAACCCGGCATCCTGGCCAGATTTGGCCATTGGTCTCTATCCATCGTCACAGCCTTCTAATCATCCCCTTATACTGATTGGCTTCATCATTCTGTCTCCTCTCTACCAATAAGCTGGTGGTAGTTCTGGCGCAGTATGGCTGCCATCGCATCATCCAGGTTATATTAATAAATACTCTGACACATCTGAGCTTTATAATGGCAGTAGATTGCAACCATCAGTTTTGAACCTCAAAAAAGTGCATTAATCCATCATAAAAGTGCTCCACACGGCTTTGTAAGGAAAATATTTCTTACAAAATCATAGGCAAGAGTAAACCTGATTCCGTTTCTCTCTCTGAAGTGAGATAATGATAGATTTGTCATTTTTAGGTTAAATATCCCTTTAAGAATTAAGATTGTTGATGGATAGAATGTGAGGAGCTTTTCAGACAATGCTAAGAGTAAATCAAGAACAGTCTTGCAGTGGCTTCAATGAGATGAATGTGAGTTAGTGTGTGTGTGTATTTATTCAGAACATCTATAAATCGTCCCTAGAACACTCAGATTGAAGCGAGACCGTCTGTAAGCCTGTGGCCCAAGAAACACAAATAAAACACTTCAGTCTCCAAGACACTCTATGGATACTTTGCTGAAATGGTCTGATTGTGTTCTTATTATGAGCAATTGCAGGTGCCGGATCAATGGCCACCCCCAAAGGAACATCTATAATTGGATGCACAGCAAATCCCTCAGCAGGGTCACAGTATCATTCCTCCCACACACTTCTCTTTTACCTCTTTCCCATTATGTCCAACTACAGACAAAGTCAATTAACAAATTATTTTTAATCAAATGTGTCAACTCATAGACATAAAGGTCTCAAAAGAACTGATAATAGCACTACGAGTCACTGTTTTGGATTAAGTAAAACCCTTGTCTTAATATCACCTTTAGCAGCCTTTCACTTCTTGTCCTCATTATTTCTAAAATAACCAACTATATTCTCTATCACAGCTACTGAAATGCATGCAGAGTGCCCAAGGGGAGTGCACATCTAATTTAGATGCTCCTTTTTGTTATTTTCAGACTCCCAAGATGGCACTATCCTGAGGTGGCCAATGCCGTCGGCTCTCTTTGACATGCCGTGGTGGCAGGCGCTCTTAAACTCCACCCTCACCCTCAATCAAAGCAACAGTAGTTTGTTCCTGCTTGATGTCCCCTGCTGGCAATCAAGCGCCATGACGCTTACACTAGTGTTATGCTACTGCCTGGTGCTTATTTTGGGCTTGCTTGGTAACATCCTCCTCATTTGCATTATTATGCACCAGCGGGACCCTCCGAACGTCACTAGCATCCTCATTGCCAACCTTTCGGTTTCCGACATCCTGGTGAGTGTGTTCTGCCTTCCCTTCACTGTGGTTTACACTCTCATGGATCACTGGATCTTCGGTGGGCTGCTATGTCGCCTAATGCCGTTTGTGCAGTGTGTGTCGGTGACAGTTTCAGTCCTGTCTCTGGTTTTGATCGCACTTGAAAGGCACCAGCTCATACTGCATCCATCTGGCTGGAAGCCGAGCGTCCCGCAGGCATACATAGCCGTTTTGATTGTGTGGCTGCTGGCCTGCATAACATCATTACCTTTCCTGGCATTCCACATGCTCAGCAGCGAGCCATACAGTCTGCTTCCCGCGCCGCTTAGCCAGCTACAGGCATGTCTGGAAGTCTGGCCTTCTCAGCAGCACAAACTAGTCTACACCACCAGCCTGTTAATATTCCAGTACTGCTGCCCGCTACTCCTCATGCTTCTCTGCTACCTTCGCATCTTCCTGCGGCTGCGACGCCGACAACGCATGCTGGAGCGCCAGTGCAGCCGCAATCGAGAAGACGAACACAGGCGCGTGAAGCACAGCAAACGCATAAATGTTATGCTTGCCACTTTGGTGGTTGCATTTGCTGTGTGCTGGCTGCCATTAAATGCCTTTAATGTGGTGGCGGACTGGTACCAGGAGGCGCTGCCTGTGTGTTACCACAATCTGCTGTTTTCACTCTGTCATCTGCTGGCCATGAGTTCCACCTGCATCAACCCCATCATCTATGGCTTCCTCAACAGCAACTTTCGCAAGGATGTGTCCTCCGTGGTGCTACACTGCCATTTTCAGCCAGTCGAAGACAGCTACGAACACTTTCCAATGTCCACCATGAACACTGATGTGTCACGGACATCACTCAGAAACAGTTCTGTGTAATTCTGGGCTTATTGCTTAATTAATCTGGACATCAAAACCAGTGTTTAGCTTAGATCAAGCTTGACTTCCACTACAGTGACAGATGCCATATAGTGGAAAGGTGGAAATAAAAGTACATAAATGTATTGAAAATGTAACTTGAATGGATTGATTATGGATTCTGATTGGTCCACGGAATGAAGTCGTGACAAATACCCATTTGATTTATAAGGATTGAATCCTATCCTTGTTGTAACATTGAGGTATGTTATGCACACTGATTATGTTTTAAATTTCCAAAAGCATTTTACTCTGCTAAAACTGGTGGACTATGTAAGGAAAATGCAGCAGAAGGTTTGTGAGCTATGTAGCTTTTTTGCCACTCAAACACAATGAAAGCTATAAGGAATGAATTGGGTGAAGGCAACACTTGCATCTGAAACATTATCTCTTCTTCCTTGAGGCACTGAGCTAAGATTGGAGGTATTGCCAGTGTACAAATGCCTGGAAATTGCAGCTAGCTAAGCCCTAATGCTAACCCTAATGTCTAGCGTGATTCAAGCTAAAACCCACAATAAATCAGAATATACCTGTCAGCTTATATTGTCAGGCTGCAGCCTAAAAGGGGAAAACCGATAATATCCACTGGACAAACAAAACTGTGCTGGAGTTTTTCATTTTTCTGGGGCTTATTTTTGTGACTCATCCTTTCAAACAAGATTGCACACACACACATAGCCAGCAGAAAGAGACATTGGCTGAAATGTTCTATCAAGAAACTATTAATTAATATTATACGATGTTTAAACTCAAAAAGATGATTAAATAAAATTGTGAAAAATACATAAATGTCACCTTCATCATAAATGTGCTTGTGAAATATATCTGTTCGGTTTGTTGATCAGGTGTCAGGCCAACTCATCTGTCAGTCACATAAAGACATGATTGATGGGAGTAATAATTTTGTATGATAAATGGGCTCTGGTATAATACATCAATTTATTTTAAAGTGCACTCCCAATAGAAAAGGCATCCACATTTCAAGATTACACCCATTTCATGACTTAGTAATGCAGAGTTATAACATACTGCAATCATAGGACTGAGTGCTTGTATCCTTGCCAGGCAAAACATCTTTCTCAGTACCTGGGGAAAAGTTTGCCATAACTTTAATAGTGGGAATCAAACACAACAAAATCCCTTATTCCCTTATACCCCCATCATGTATTTATTTATATACCATACTGTTCTAATTGACATGTTCCTGGATCAACATCTTTTGTTGAGCCTGGAACAACAATCCTGTCCAAAAAGATATCTGGTCTAACCCTACCCATAACTTATCCTATAATCAAAGGGACATAATAAATAACACTGATGTAGAAAGCATCTAACCCTGGTTGTAAGCCTAAACTTGACTGAGGCAACTTTAACTGTAAACCATCCCTTAAATCTGATTGGTTGATTGGAATGTTGTTCCAGGATCAACAAAGATGTTGAACACTTTTTATAAGGCGAAATCACGTTGACCAAGCAGGATTTGTTTTTGAATGCATTCAGCAGCAAGATTGTAACTGTTCAAACTTCTCTAGACATATTGTAATGCCTCAATTGAATGTGACTGTGTCTTATTCTAGTGTTATGTATTTTCAGGTTTTGTGAAACATTATAAACATTTACTGTTCTGTTTTGTATCTGTGTAATGTCATATCCATGGGTGGAACATCAATAAATCTCTTTTATGGGCAATTGGGGTGATACCAAATGTTGTAAAAGAGAAAAGCTGAGATTTAGAGGGAGAAGTAAAGAGAGAAGAGACGATAGATGAGTTTAATATGAATTTTCCTGGAACGGTACAGTTGGCTCATGCTATATGGTTCTCAATTGTGCATCTGTTTGCCTGTATTTTTTCACAATTGTTTTGATGTTGTTTAGTTTTTGTAAATGTGATAGAAAGACAGCACATACATTGCATAAAATGATTGGTTGTTGCAATGAATTTTATATTAAATCTGATGTCATGCATGTTTACATGTTCACACCCCTGGCTGCTCCTAATATATGTGCACTACCTTGGATGGATTAAATGCAGATGACATATTCCGAGTATGGGTTTCCTTACTTTGCCTTTACTTTACTTTGCTTTAACTTTAAATTTCTAATGACCAGGAATTATACTTTTATTAAGTAGGCCTATACAGATATGTGTTTCAGGCATGTTAATCTGTGCGCAAGTCAGCAAGTTTTTAAATGAGCACAAAATAAGGTGTAGGCTGTGTGCAATTTATAGGGATGGATAATATTTCGGAGAATTCAAAAACTAAACAACATCAGCATTTGTAATCTTGTCATTTCATTTGTAATTTCAAACACTGTCATAAATGTAAAACATTTTTCATTCCTCTTGAAAACTGTTCTAGGTGCTTGAATGTAAAAATTGGTTTTCATTGTGATCAACTGTTTCAGTTTCTTGGAGTTTGATTTTTATAGTAGTCTTGTGGTCTGACATTTAAAGCAACACCAAAGAACTTTTCCTCTGCGGTCATTTTAAGGTAAAAATTATTTCTTGTTGCTTTAATGTGAAAGCAATTTTAAAACATATTTTCTACAAATATTCAAACATTCATCATCATATATTCATCATTGAACCTTGGTCCATTCACTCTTCTTCTTCCGGGAAAAAGTTAACTCAGCCTAAAATCAGCTTAGCTTACCGTGTCCTCCCACTTTTTTTAGTGGTGTTGGTTCCGGAAGTATTTTTTCCATTCATTTCTCCCATAGCGATTTCAGATAAAGTCTTTGTAAAAGCGAAGCGAACCCTTTCGCACGTTCGATCACAATGGTGTGATCAGTTTGGGTTGGTTGCCTAGAAAAACTCACGCTGGGGGATCAGTTAGAATTTTTTTAAACTTATGTGTGAAAGGGTTAAGACATGACAAGGTAAATATTACAACATTAACATAACATTACAAATATTTTCAACGTGGCAATAATTTTATTTTCTATTTTACTGTATTTTCTGCAAAAATTCTCATTACCGTAATGCGTCCAACTTAACTGAATGTTCTGAATGTAAGTTGTAATTTAAACAAATGAAAATTTTAAAAAAAGAAAAAATTAAATGGATGTTGTACTAGATTATTTTAGATGACAAAAAAATTATTTACTGAATATTCATGTATAATTATCATTGTAAAAAGTAGGAAAATGATGCATCCATAACAGCGGTTCTCATTCTTTGCAACATTTTTGAGGACTGTTAAAATGCACATTCAGAATTTAAATAAAGTTTGATTTTGAATGAAGAAGTACATGCATAAAGAGAACCACACGTCTCAAACAGTATTAAGGGAATGTCAGGAAAAAGAAAGTATGAAAATCAAAAGGTATGGGTGGGTCATAAAAGATAAGGTGAATAACATTGGAATTGGATCTTTGAACATCTGCCCAACAGTGTCATATCCAATCGTGCCTCCGTGGATGTTACAAGAATTGAATGTTGATTTAGAACTATTGGAAGTAAAGAAGAAAGATGGAGTGGATAAGTATGGGGTAAGCAACTATATAACAGGAAAATACAAAGAGTGTGTAAAGGTTTTTACAGATGCATCTAAAAACACTGAGAAGAGAGTAGGGGTAGCTTATGTAATTCCTGAGATGGGCATAGAAATGGCAAAAAGGATAAATGATGACCTAGCAGTGCTGAACTGGTTGCCCTATGGTTAGCACTCTTGTGGCTAGAGTCTAACAATTGTCTGCAGGCAGTAATTGCCTCTGATTCAAGTTCAGCAATGTACAGTATTCAGAACTATCGGTCTGATTCAAGGGAAGATATTTTAATTTTAAAGAAATTTTACAGCTAGCAAATGGAATACAAGCATCAGGAAGGAGGGTGACATTCGTATGGGTTCCAGCCCATATAGGAGTGGAAGGTAACGAAATGGCTGATGAACATGCAAAGAGAGTAACAGATAAAAGCAATATAGATATAGATGTAAAATACAGTAAAGCAGAGATAAAAAGCATAATTAAGGCTAAAACTATTAAAAAGTGGCAACATATCTAGGATAATGGGTGCTCAGGAAGACATCTATATAGGATACAAGGGAAAGTGGGAAAAGAAACACACATAACCAGATCAAGACAGGAAGAAATTGTGCTGACTAGGATGAGGTTGGGTCATACAAAGTTGAATAGTACAATGTTTTTAATAAAAAAAGCATGTAGATGGAAAGTGTGTGTATTAATATACCTGAAACAGTAGAGCATGTAATAATGTACTGTCAGAAATACAATGAAGCAAGGCAAAGACTAGCTAATGAGTTTAAAGCAAAGAAAATGTCTTTAGAAACTAAAACATTGGACAGAAGTTCAAAGGAGAATTTTGATCTCTTATTTTCTTTTTGGAAAAGTACAGGCCTTTTAAAAAGGATATAGGAATAAAGGGTTTTTTTTGTTGTTTTTTTTATAAATAATTATGGAATTGCTGGTATATTATGTTTTTAATAATAGTAAAGAATAAGACAGTAGCTCTAATGCCTTACTCCAGTCCTGTGGTGGCGGTAATGCACAAGAAATAGTTGCCAACCGCCAAATAAAAGATTATCATCACCGAAACAAGTAGTTTTCTACATTTAGAAAATTGTTACTGTAGATTTACAATTTTATATAAAATTGTACTTCATTAATGTCTAATGAGTAAAAGACTAGCAAAGTCATCATGGACTCTCTTGCAAAACATACCAAGTCACCTCATCCTACGAAACACCATTTTCATACACTGCAACCATTTAAAGGGTTAGTTCACCCAAAAATGAAAATTAAGTCATTAATTACTCACCCCCATGCTGTACCAACCCCGTAAGACCTTCGTTCATCTTCGGAACACAAATAAAGATATTTTTGATTGAATCTGAGAGCAAGATCAGTCCTACATAGGATGCCTAAGGGACTGGCTCTTGACGGCCCATAAAGTCATTAAAGAAAAGGTTTAAATATTCCATGTGCCTACAGCGGCTTAATTACAAGTTTATCAAGCGACGAGACTACTTTTTGTGCAAAAAAAACATAAATAACGACTTAATTCGACTATTCTATTACTTCCTTATGGGCGCATGCGCGAGAACTGAGACGAGGACGTTCTTCTCCTTCGACTACTTTTTGTTACCTTTTTGATCCATATATAAGGCGCTCCGGATTATAAGGAACACTGTTTTTAGAAGATTAAAGGCTTTTAAGTGCACCTTGTAGTGCGGAAAATACGCTAATTGAAAAGCGTATGTACAGCGCGCATCTTCCTCTGCTTGTAAACAGAAAGTTTTGCGCTTCCAGCTATATCAGCACATCATCTTATACGGTAGGGGGCGGTAAAACTCCTAAGCGGAGCAGCCGGTAACAAAAAGTAGTCGAAGGAGAAGAACGTCCTTGTCTCAGTTCTCGCGCATGCGCCCATAAGGAAGTAATAGAATAGTCGAATTAAGTCGTTATTTATGTTTTTTTTGCACAAAAAGTAGTCTCGTCGCTTGATAAACTTGTAATTAAGCCGCTGTAGGCACATGGAATATTTAAACCTTTTCTTTAATGACTTTATGGGCCGTCAAGAGCCAGTCCCTTAGGCATCCTATGTAGGACTGATCTTGCTCTCAGATTCAATCAAAAATATCTTTATTTGTGTTCCGAAGATGAACGAAGGTCTTACGGGGTTGGTACAGCATGGGGGTGAGTAATTAATGACTTAATTTTCATTTTGGGGTGAACTAACCCTTTAAGGCCAGTTGCGGTAGAAAACTTCTGTTTCGGAAAATTTAATCATTGTATACTTTTAAATATAGGCTACCGTATGAATTTAATATGAACTTAAATATTTTTTCTAACAGTTGATATTTTGCGTCATGATTTTCATTGTAGGCAGTAAGCAAGTGAGAAAAAAAGTTTTAGCTTAGTTTTAGCTAAGGCCAGGTTGACAAAGTCCAGGGGGAAAAACTACAGCAACCCAGAACTGCTCGAGGAGTACAGAAGGAAGGAGGGAAAGAGGTTAGGTTTGGAGGTGAAGCAGATTTAATCAGCAATAAACACTCTACAGTGTTAGGAAATGTACATGAGCATATGCACACACACACACACACACAGCCTTTTAGCCACTACTAGCCTATAACAGGGCTATATAAATATATCTGCAGCAGTCTGTCATAAATAATAATAAAACATTTAAAAAAGCTGTTTGATCTCCTATTTACATCTGGAAGACGTATTTTAAAGAGTGTTTGCTCATCTGCAAGACGTCTATAGGACGTTTCCTGCAGATGTCAAATAGACGTTTAGAAGATGTCTCTAAGATGTAATGATTTAGAATGCATGTTAAACTGACATCTTATAAACGTCTATTTGACATCTGACAGGAAACGTCATAGACGTCTTGCAGATGAGCAAACACTCTTTAAAATACGTCTTAGATGTAAATAGGACATCAAATACCCTTGTGCTATCTGGGTACTAGCTAACAGGGCTAAATAAATAAATCTGCTGCAGTCTGTCATAAATATTAATAAAACATTAAAAAAAAAAAAAAAAACGTGTTACAACTATAGCCATGCGTTAGCCTACTTTGTGCCCCGGGCAACCTTACTGTGACTATTGAATTCAGTTAATGCATTTAGTAAAAACGCATACATATAAAATATTTGTTTATGTCTCATTGTCTTAAAAAACGTTGAATATTAAATCTAATCAGAGCTTTACAAAACAACCAAACACTAGATCGCATGAAAACTCAACAGAAAACTCTGAGCTGACCGGCTCGGCTCTGCCTCCCCCTTCTGTTTACCAGAGGAACAGTCTTTCAAGATGCTGGGCAATCGTGCGAACCAGCAGTCTATGGTGCAATCACACCGCTTACTCAACTAGACAGTTGGTTAAACCAATGTCAAGATTGTTCTTTTCAGCTAAAGTGTATACTAAATTCAAATGTCTTTTCAAGCTTAATGTTTGAACAAGATGTGGCTTTCATTCATATTTTCAGGCATCATTCTTGAATCATGCACGAAGAGGGTGCTATTGTTCAGTTTAAACTATCATGTAAAATTATTACTTATTAGTAACAGGGGTGCATTTCCTGTTTAAACAGTTTCAGTTTTGAATCAGTTATGTTTAAATGTATTAATGACTGGCAATATTGTTTTTGTTTGTGTTGTGTCACAAGCAGGTTCGAATTACAAAGTGGCTTTCGGGGGATTTTCCGATCCTCCCTGACTGACTTAATGCTTTTTGGTGCATGTTCGGGCATTTAAAACAATAGTGTGATGCAAAAGGTTCGTTGTGTGTGGGTGATGGAAGGAGACACAGGGTCGGCAAATGCTGGAACTCGTGCACTTTTATTTACAAGGCTCTTTTACAGCGCCTGGTCGCGCTCAAATAACATTAGGCTAACTAAAAATATCAAAAAGGCAACAGAAAGGCAACCAGGTTGGGGGAATTGCACAGTACCAGAAAAAACCATTTATGGACTTAATAAGATAAATACATAAAATTAATAGAAATACAGAAATAAACAAATAATCTGGCACCATTGGGTCATCATGTCCACCATGTTTTATCAGCCTTCAAAAATCTGTATGGTTTTAAACCCAATACATATTCATATTTCGATATTCCCATTCGGAAATTCAACGTTTGGGGGTTTGCGTCGTGCGCGTGCTTGCATCTATAATTCTATTATAGCCAGGCCTATGTAACTGGTGAAAATTAACCTTTGACTTGTTTTTTTATTGTATTATTTTTTTTCTGTATTTTACTGTTTAAGTTTTCCCTATTTTTGTATTTAGAATGGCTTAACCTCACAAAATTTTGTTCACATTATTGTTCATGAGTAAGAGAACATAACGTTAAATTAGCGGAACTTTTCTCTGAGTGTTTGTTTGGGGAGGGAGCGTCATCGGTGGAACACTTCCGGGGTTTTTCCTCGTGCGGTCTGTAATAGCCATTAGCCACTTCTACCTGACCTGTGCGCGAGGCTCGTGAGCGCACGCAATGTTGCTTCTCTCCATGAATGTTACTGGTATGATGATTATTGTTTGAAGGCATAATTATTGCTCAATAATTGTGATTTGAGTGTGCTTAATCATTTGAGTGTGTTACTCGTGATGAATGTGTATAGTAGTACGAGTTTATAAAACTCATCATGGTGCTAACTGATTAGTATCTTATGCACAGTGTTACACGAGAGAGAGAAGCTGAAGCCCCGTTGATCCACTGATGATCTCTCTGTTTACAGGTGTGTTGTTTAATTAGTTCTGTTTTGTGAAAGGAAAGAGATCTGGTTGACTGTTAATAAATATGTACTGTATTAACAGTGTTATCGGGGAATCGAATCAGATTCGTGCGTGACGCACGTGGTGCGCCCTGCATATGGTATGCTGCTAAATGTGCATTGAGCTTTTCTTTTGGATTTATGTTTACAAATTATATTATAATTTATTGGTTGTTTATCATAGCATGTTATTTTATATAAATATCTGAATTAATGCATATAAATACTTGAATTAATGCTTATGGTCATTTAATTTAGTATAAAATTGATGTACTATACATTATTGTAGTGTATTGATAAGAGTATTAATGTGATGTATCACAAGGAAGATTATGAATGTGTAACATTTATTATTTTATTTACATGTTTTATTTATTTTTCTTAAAAGAACTGTAATAGCCTCAGTCTACCTGTGCGCGAGGCTCATGAGCGCACGCAATGTTGCTTCTTCCATGAATGTTACTGTGTTACACGAGAGAGAGAGAAGCTGAAGCCCCGTTGATCCACTGATGATCTCTCTGTTTACAGATTAAAAAGGAAAAACATTGGATCTCATCGCTGTGTGGTCGTGTGGTCATTTGGGTTAAAGAGTCCGTTCCAGACATGCTACATATATATATATATATATATATATATATATATATATATATATATATATATTAACTGTTGACAAACTAAGATTAGTAGAATTTGTCATTCTTATTTTTACCTGGGTGCACTTTCCCATACTGTTTCCTTGTGTAAGCAGTTGGAACAATTATTAAACATGTAGAATACTTTCCAGAGCATTACATATTATAAATTCAGACGTTTGTGATGTATATAAAAAAAATAAAACATAAGATTATCTTTTTTAAATTAGATTGAACACGGAGCAGTTTTTACCTGTGAGTGAGACTGGAAAACCCGTAGTGGATTAGAGCGGAGTGATAACAGAACGCTTAGAGTGCAGAGAGGAACGGGCTTTTGCTCCAGTCCTGGCTTTGCGTCCGTGCCGTTAGGAGCTAAGCTCTAGATTGCGGTAAAACTAGTCGATCACGAGTGGCTCATCAGGTAGATCTATAGATAAACTCATCTTTCAGGGATTTGACCGGCCAGATTCACACTTCATCGTGGGAAATCGGGGGTGTGGCGTGAGAGCGTGAGAATTAGCTCAATTTTGCGTGAAACTCGCGCTCAATGCGTGAGAGTTGGCAACCCTGCAATCATGTGTTTTACTAGAGATCTACGGCATTAAATGCTATGCTGCTGCTGCGTCTCAATAAAGATTCTAGAGCGTTTTTTTTTTTTTTTTTGCCGATTCAGATCAACTCCAAAAAGGAGGACAAATGAGTGTCCGGCTTGAGGCTGCGCCGGACACGGAGCTTAAAATCCGGACTGTCCGGCCAAAATCCGGACGTATGGCCACCCTAGAGGAGGCTTCCTGAGGAGTCATAGCGAGGATACACAGGGTGCTTCTCATTTCTTATTTGTGCATCCTCGTTTCCTTTCCTTGCGTCTCAGCTCCACCCCCTGTAGGACGCGAGGGAAGGAAGCGAGGAAAGGAAGGGAGGACAGAGGAATCGAATAAAAGATTTTTTATATACATTGGAATACTTGATCACTCGAGCGTCACTCCACAGTGTCATCAACAGAGCTAAAAGGATCTGCCCTTATGTTGTTGAAGTTTGGTTATTTAATAAATTCATAATAAATAATATTAAAGATAGGCTATCTAGACCCTTCCGGAGCTGAGATATTGAGATTTTTATAATGGCATAAATGCTACGTGGGATCTCAATATCTCAGCTCCGGAAGGGTCTAGAGCCTCCATTTTTGCACTCAGGTCTAAGTGTCATGGCCCTCTATCAGAATCCAGAGTTTCAGGAAAATTGGAGAAACTTATTTTTTCGCCTGAAAAAAAAACCCGAAAGGGGTACCACTGTCGTTTTCACGCGCTAAAACATGTGAAACCAACATTTCTATGGTATTTGAAAGTTCACCCGCAGGCCGCACTGACTGAGGAGGCGGGCCACATGCGGCCCGCGGGCTGCCAGTTGCCCATCCCTGCTCTAGACCCTTCCGGAGCTGAGATATTGAGATCCCACATAGCATTTATGCCATTATAAAACTCTCAATATCTCAGCTCTGGAAGGGTCTAGAGCCTGCATTTTTGCACTCAGGTTTAAGTCTCATGGCCCTCTCTCAGAATCCAGAGTTTTGAGAAGATTTGAGAAACTTAATTTTTCCCCCGAAAAAAAAAACCCGAAAGGGGTACCACTGTCGTTTTTTTTTTTTCGGGTTGAATTTTTGAGTTTCGATATCTCAGCTCTGGAAGGATCTAGAGCCTCCATTTTTGCACTCAGGTCAAAGTCTCATGGCCCTCTATCAGAATCCAGAGTTTTGAGAAGATTGGAGAAACTTAATTTTTCGCCCGAAAATGAAAAAAAAACGAAAGGGGTAGCACTGTCGTTTTATTTTCGGGTCGAAATTTTTAATTTTGATATCTCAGCTCTGGAAGGGTCTAGAGCCTCCATTTTTGCACTCAGGTGAAAGTCTCATGGCCCTCTATCAGAATCCAGAGTTTTGAGAAGATTGGAGAAACTTATTTTTTTCGCCCGAAAATGAAAAAAAAAAAACGAAAGGGGTAACACTGTCGTTTTTTTTTTTCGGGTCGAAATTTTGAATTTTGATATCTCAGCTCTGGAAGGGTCTAGAGCCTCCATTTTTGCACTCAGGTCAAAGTCTCACAGCCCTCTATCATAATCCAGAGTTTTGAGAAGATTGGAGAAACTTAATTTTTTCGCCCGAAAATGAAAAAAAAACGAAAGGGGTAACACTGTCGTTTTTTTTTCGGGTCGAAATTTTGAATTTTGATATCTCAGCTCTGGAAGGGTCTAGAGCCTCCATTTTTGCACTCAGGTCAAAGTCGCACAGCCCTCTATCATAATCCAGAGTTTTGAGAAGATTGGAGAAACTTAATTTTTCGCCGAAAATGTAAAAAAAACGAAAGGGTAACACTGTCGTTTTTTTTTCGGGTCGAAATTTAGAATTTTGATATCTCAGCTCTGGAAGGGTCTAGAGCCTCCATTTTTGCACTCAGGTCAAAGTCGCACAGCCCTCTATCATAATCCAGAGTTTTGAGAAGATTGGAGAAACTTAATTTTTCGCCCGAAAATGAAAAAAAACGAAAGGGGTAACACTGTCGTTTTTTTTTCGGTCGAAATTTTGAATTTTGATATCTCAGCTCTGGAAGGGTCTAGAGCCTCCATTTTTGCACTCAGGTGAAAGTCTCATGGCCCTCTATCAGAATCCAGAGTTTTGAGAAGATTGGAGAAACTTATTTTTTTCGCCCGAAAATGAAAAAAAAAACGAAAGGGTTAACACTGTCGTGTTTTTTTTGGGTCGAAATTTTGAATTTTGATATCTCAGCTCTGGAAGGGTCTAGAGCCTCCATTTTTGCACTCAGGTCAAAGTCGCACAGCCCTCTATCATAATCCAGAGTTTTGAGAAGATTGGAGAAACTTAATTTTTCGCCCGAAAATGTAAAAAAACGAAAGGGGTAACACTGTCGTTTTTTTTCGGGTCGAAATTTTGAATTTTGATATCTCAGCTCTGGAAGGGTCTAGAGCCTCCATTTTTGCACTCAGGTCAAAGTCTCATGGCCTCTATCAGAATCCAGAGTTTTGAGAAGATTGGAGAAACTTAATTTTTCGCCCGAAAATGAAAAAAAACGAAAGGGGTAACACTGTCGTTTTTTTTTCGGGTCGAAATTTTGAATTTTGATATCTCAGCTCTGGAAGGGTCTAGAGCCTCCATTTTTGCACTCAGGTCAAAGTCTCATGGCCCTCTATCATAATCCAGAGTTTTGAGAAGATTGGAGAAACTTAATTTTTCGCCCGAAAATGAAAAAAAACGAAAGGGGTAACACTGTCGTTTTTTTTTCGGGTCGAAATTTTTGAATTTTGATATCTCAGCTCTGGAAGGGTCTAGAGCCTCCATTTTTGCACTCAGGTCAAAGTCTCATGGCCTCTATCAGAATCCAGAGTTTTGAGAAGATTGGAGAAACTTAATTTTTCGCCCGAAAATGAAAAAAACGAAAGGGGTAACACTGTCGTTTTTTTTTTCGGGTCGAAATTTTGAATTTTGATATCTCAGCTCTGGAAGGGTCTAGAGCCTCCATTTTTGCACTCAGGTCAAAGTCTCATGGCCCTCTATCAGAATCCAGAGTTTTGAGAAGATTGGAGAAACTTAATTTTTCGCCGAAAATGAAAAAAAACGAAGGGGTAACACTGTCGTTTTTTTTTCGGGTCGAAATTTTGAATTTGATATCTCAGCTCTGGAAGGGTCTAGAGCCTCCATTTTTGCACTCAGGTCAAAGTCTCATGGCCCTCTCTCAGAGTTTTGAGAAGATTGGAGAAACTTAATTTTTCGCCCGAAAATGAAAAAAAACGAAAGGGGTAACACTGTCGTTTTTTTTCGGGTCGAAATTTTGAATTTTGATATCTCAGCTCTGGAAGGGTCTAGAGCCTCCATTTTTGCACTCAGGTCAAAGTCTCATGGCCCTCTATCAGAATCCAGAGTTTTGAGAAGATTGGAGAAACTTAATTTTTCGCCCGAAAAAGAAAAAAACGAAAGGGGTAACACTGTCGTTTTTTTTTTCGGGTCGAAATTTTGAATTTCGATATCTCAGCTCTGGAAGGGTCTAGAGCCTCCATTTTTGCACTCAGGTCAAAGTCTCACAGCCCTCTATCATAATCCAGAGTTTTGAGAAGATTGGAGAAACGTAATTTTTCGCCCGAAAATGAAAAAAAAAAAAAACGAAAGAGGTAACACTGTCGTTTTTTTTTTCGGGTCGAATTTTTGAATTTTGATATCTCAGCTCTGGAAGGGTCTAGAGCCTCCATTTTTGCACTCAGGTCAAAGTCTCACAGCCCTCTATCATAATCCAGAGTTTTGAGAAGATTGGAGAAACTTAATTTTTCGCCCGAAAATGAAAAAAAAAACGATAGGGGTAACACTGTCGTTTTTTTTCGGGTCGAAATTTTGAATTTTTATATCTTAGCTCTGGAAGGGTCTAGAGCCTCCATTTTTGCACTCAGGTCAAAGTCTCACAGCCCTCTATCATAATCCAGAGTTTTGAGAAGATTGGAGAAACTTATTTTTTCGCCCAAAAATGAAAAAAAAAAAAAAGGGTAACACTGTCGTTTTTTTTTTCGGGTCGAAATTTTGAATTTTGATATCTCAGCTCTGGAAGGGTCTAGAGCCTCCATTTTTGCACTCAGGTCAAAGTCTCACAGCCCTCTATCATAATCCAGAGTTTTGAGAAGATTGGAGAAACTTAATTTTTCGCCCGAAAATGAAAAAAAACGAAAGGGTAACACTGTCGTTTTTTTTCGGGTCGAAATTTTGAATTTGATATCTCAGCTCTGGAAGGGTCTAGAGCCTCCATTTTTGCACTCAGGTCAAAGTCTCATGGCCCTCTATCATAATCCAGAGTTTTGAGAAGATTGGAGAAACTTAATTTTTCGCCAAAAATGAAAAAAAACGAAAGGGTAACACTGTCGTTTTTTTTT